TGTAGAGTTTGTGGGGATTTTCTGGACACGTACATATGTGTGTGTGTGTGTGTGTGTGTGTGTGTTCAATGTAATCCCTCCACCTTCGCCCCTGAAAATAGTTTGATAACATCTACCTTACATTACTGAAATGCTGTGCACAGTGATTTGAGAGGTTAGAAGTGGGCAAGTGGGTTACAATGAAGTGTTGAGTGTAGCTTCAAAGTGGGTGGGTACAGGGCATGAGCAGGGACTTCCCAAGAGAGTCCAGGCTTGTTTTGTGAAATAGAGCTTTGCAATCAAATTGTATGTAGGATAAAACAGGTTGTTCTAGACATGGGAGAATTAGTCAAGAAAACCTACATGAAGGAAATTTAGGATGATCCTGATAGCAGAAAATGACCCTTGCTTAGAGGAATGGAATGCTCTGCAGTCCAAGCACCAAGAGCAGCACGTGCAAAGGCACCAAGGTGTAGAACCACATGATTGACCAACTCCATGCAAACCTGATAGAAAGGAATATGAGGGATAAAGTTAGAGGGGCAAGTTCAGTGCTCTAAGCCAACAGTCAGGATCTGTGAAAGAAAGCACATGTTCACCTTCAAAATTATTCACTCAGCACTTACTGGCCCCTCAATACTGTCCAGCTTTTATATTGTTATACAAATCTTTTATTTTTCCATTGCTGGGCTTTCTGCATGCTAGGCAAGTGTTCTATCACTAAGCTATTTCCTTTTAATTTTATTTTGAGATAGCGTCTCTCTAAGCTGCCCTGGCTGACCTTGAATTTACAATCCTCCCTCTTCAGCCTCTCAAGTAGCTGGGATTACAGGCATATGCCACCATGCCCAGCTAAAAATATTGTGTTTTCATTTGGCATAAAACTCAGTAAATTCATGATTTCCTATTAGGTTATTAGCAAGAAAAGTGATGGATCCCAAGACATCCTGACTTGCTTCTACTCACCTCTCCCTCACAGCTTGCCAATATTTATTTACCTTGCTGCTAAGCACCACCTATCCATGTGCCAAAGCCTTCAGGTCTTGTGTCCCAGCAGGTGAAAGATTGCCTGAGACAGCAGCAAACAGGAGCAGAAAGCTGGCGACTATTAAAACACACTTCTTGACTTACAGTCAACTGTCAGGTAGGAAAATTTATCTTCCCTGATCAGAGCCAAAAGCATCGGGAGGCTGGGCTGGGAGTGTTTGTGTGTGCCTGTGTATATATTAACTATCCACCTGGGAAATCTCTCAATCAGCATTTATTTCAATAATCTCATACATTTCCAGGGCACCTTTCTCCAAAATGCCTCCAAAGCAGTTTGTAAATTTTATATAGCTGGGGAATTACCAAGGAAATAGATACTTATCAGCCTCCTGGTGAGGACAAGGGACTAAGAGTACTTTTGTTGAGAAGTAGAGGGATCCAAGAAAGTGTATTTCATTCAGAATGTGGTTGCATTTAAGCAACACTGTGCTTCATTAAAAATGTTACTCTGATTTCCCAATTCATTCAGAATCTATCCAGCTTTCTTCTGCTTCCAGATTTATCACCACAGTTGACACTAAATTTTGATGCCCCGGAGCAATACTTGCCTTCAACTTGGATATTACTACAAACCCAGACCAACAACAGTGGGCAGTGAGACCTGGCATCACTCTCGGGGGTCACAAGTTATGCGTCTCTAGTCCACTTCTGGGCAGTAGCTGCAGAGTGCTCCGGGGGCCAGGGCGCACTTGTGAGGAAAGTGAAGGGGCTTCCACGCATTCCCCAAGGCAGTAATATTTACCGAGCAATGACTATGCTCTAGCAACTCTGCCAGGGTGTGGAGATGTAACTAACAGCAAAGGCCCCGCCTGGAGCCAGCCATCTGGCCGGGAGGATGCTGATTAATCCAGTCATGGCACAGATCACTATAATGTTAGCGTTGTTATCAAGGTGACAGAAGATGGTGCTGAGGACCTCAGCAGAGCCGCTGACCTAGACTGGAGGGGAGGGGTCAGGGAAGAGCGTCGGGGACAGGGTGAATCCGGGTACACAGGCACAGCAGGGGCATTTGCTGAATAGGGTGCAGGTACTGGTTAAATGAAACAAGGCTTGTCAGGCCCTGTACCTGCCGATGGCCTGTTAGAAGCCAGGCCGCACAGCACAGCCGGGGTGAGCAGCAGGTGAGCAAGTGAGGCTTCGCCTGTATGCACAGCCTCTGGTCTCCTGCATTCCGGCCCAGGCTCCCCGCCTGCAGTGACAGTGGCTGCGTTGGATTCTCACTGGGAACTGCGCATGCGAGGGACCTGGCTTGCGCGCTCCCTGTGGCCCATCTAACGCCTGATGATCCGAGGCGGAGCCGAGGGGGCGATGCTACCGCCCTGAGGAACGTCATTACTACATACAACAAACATACGTTAATAAAATGCAGAGAACTTAGCCCCCGCACCCCCGCCCGTGGTCCCTGGGAGACCGCTTCTGCAAGGAGCCCACCACAGCGCTGGACGCGGCCAGGGGCTCTCGGGGTCATTTTTATGTGTCACTGTGTACCTCGGCGGGCTGGGGCAGGCTCTGCTCAGCCCAGCCTACTCAGATGCTCCGGGAAGCCTTTCCCACCACTGCCTGCCAGGTCTCTCGAGACAAGCGCATATACAAAGACGGCACTACGTATTTCTATTCTCCAGAACTGTCACATTTTGCTGAGCTCATAACAGAACCGAGCAAACAGCCCTGTCATCCTCTGTAATCTGCGCTATCATTCACCGGAGCTTCAGCTCTGCCTGTCCTCCAGACTCCTGCAGCTCAGAAAGTCATGGGCTCGGCCACCCCTTCGGTGCGGTCCCGATGCCATTCTCGGGCATCTGTCCCCTGGGCGAGCCGAGAGGATTCTTAGGCCAGAGGGACTTCCTCCATCCGCTCATCTGCTCGCTGAGCAAGCCAACCTTTGTTTGCCACCTCAAACATCAGGGTTTTAGATAAAGAGAAACGAACTGCAGATTTTCACAAGGACGAATCGCAAATACATTATCGTGAGAAGAGGGGAAAAAAGTCAGACCCAAACGAATACATGTGATGTGATCCCGTGTATTGGAAATGCCAGAAGAGACATTGATCTGCGGTGGCAGAGAGCAGGTCAGAGCTTTCTGCTGAGCCCCAGGGTTGGGGACAACTGCGGGGGAAAAGGCGTAAGGGAATTTCAGGGGGCTGCAAGTGTTCATGCTGTGAGTGTGGGAATGGCTGTGCTGGCCTATACATTTGTCAAAAGTCATGGCTCTGTACACTTAAGCCGGGCGCATTTTATTGGTTATAAATTAAACCTCAATAAAGTGACTTTTAAAATAAACAAACGGACATTTTTATTGCCTAGCCAAGGGATCCAAAGTAGATCCAAGAGCAATCGCAGGAAACCCCAGCTAGCCAGACACATAGAAACCTTTGTATTGGTCCCGTACCCACTCCTGGTGTTTTTTTTTTTTTTTTCTTTCTGTCTTTCTTTCTTTCAGCAAGAAGCAGGTCTTTATTATCTGCACTAATGGAGGGGAACAATGACATGAAGAATCTAAAGAGAGAATAAACAATCCACACATCATTTACATCTGGTGGCACAAAAATATGTTTTGTTGCCAATGTGGAATTTGAATAGAGTTGTGTCAGTTTGATAACCCAAAATACACTTCAAATGAGACGTGAAGTACCCCAGAAGGACCTGTACTGTTGAGTGCTGGAAAGTACCTCACGTTCTTGCCTGGCATTCCAAGGAGGGGAGACTGCCCTGCCTTGGTGAGATTGGGTACCTCTGTCTCAAAGTGCAAAGCAAATAGGAGTGGAGGTGCTCAAGCCATTGCAAAAGTGCTTGCAGAAAATGTTTTCTTGAAAATAAACTGGAATCATCTACTTGCAGATAATTGAGAACAGATTCTTAAAAATCAGGTTCTTCTATTTAACATGCAGTTCAGCTGGCTCAGGCTCAAAGAAATCTTTCCTGGCACACTGCACGCCCCTTCCCAAGCCCTGTTGCTCCTGAGGTCGGATTCGCCCCGCCTCCTGTCCCCAGCACTCTGTACTTTGTCCTTCATGGCACTTACCACGTGAAAGCAAATGTCTGTTTACTAATCTGTGTCCTGGACCAGACTGAGAGCTCTTTGACAACAGGGTCTGCTGAGGTCACTGTGTGTCCTCAGCTTCGGGAACAGTGGCAGGCTCATAGTAGGTGCTTAAAAGGGAGTTGCTGAGTTGTTATTGTTCTGCACACATAACAACAGAGTTTATTTAAGGTTCTGAAAAATCAGTTGCACAAACAGGAAAACTCTGGCGCTTCTAAGGGGAGCTCCAGCCAAGCGCAGCTCCAGCAGGAAATACCAGAAAGTCAGTATCCAGCACGGAGATCGCTGTGCCTGTGTTTCAAGGCAAACTCTCCTGCGCTGATCTCCAAGAAGTGGGGGAATGGCCAGTGTGGCTGCTCACATCTGCAATGCCAGCTACTCAGGAGGCTAAGGCAGGAGGATTGAAAGTTCAAGGCCAGCCTGTGCGACTTAGGGAGACCCTGACTCAAATTTTTAAAAATTCTAAAAATAGGTAAGGAAAAAGCCCCAAGGTAGAACGTTAATGCTTGCCCGGCATGCACAAAACCCTAGATTTAACCCCCGGTGGCCCCACCCAAAAAGGCAAGAGGCTGTGGAATAGTCTGGAAAACGCAAGCAAATAAATCCCCAAATGAGAACAGAGGGGAGGAGGAAGCTCCCTGATATCTCGACACCCTAGGGAGCTGGAGCAGCACCGAATTTGGAGGCTGGGCCACGTGGACTCTCACAGCCTTGTAGACGACATAGTAACCCCTCCCTGGAGAACGCTGCAGAGTTTCATCTGCATGATCTCAAGGCACATTTCTGCTCCCTACATTGTGAGGGACAACAACAGTAGAACAAGCGCTACTCTTCCATAAAGAGAGACAGGCCTGGACCATGTGTAGGAAGACGGCTGCACCTCGAGACTGCAACGTTAAATAAATCAGACACGCAAACTTAAATATCACATGGTTTCTCTTACAGGAGAAACCTAAAGTACAAATAAGAGATAGATAATGGGAAGAAAGGAGGTGGCTTTTTCTCAAAGGGGAAGGGGATCAGAGATGGAGGGAGTGGGGAGGAGAAGGAAAGGGGATGAAAAGGAATAAAGATGTGTTATGTACACGTGCCAACGCCACGCACGGAATGTAATCATTATATACCGCAGATACGTACTAGTAAAACTACCAGCAAAATGGCTGGGTTTTTTAAGTAGACAGAGTGACAGGACAAGAAACGAGGAAACTCTGAATATATCGCAAATTACTGCTCATTGTTCACATACCGGTTTCCAAGATCCAGATCACCCCAGCGGCTGTTTCCCTTCCACTGCCTCCCGCACCACCTCCACTCCCACCCCCGCCACTAGGGTGAGTGAGGAGCAAGCAGAGAGCCCAAGTCCACCGCATCACCACGAAATCCAGGCTTGGGAAACAAAGGATGGCCGAAAACCAGCGCTTGTGAACGTCTGCACTCTGCTTTCCATAAATTCGCCCTGCTGGGGATCTAGGATTCAGTACCCAACGTCTAGACACCTTGAGTCATTGACCGACGAAGCCCGTATCCTCTCAGCAAAATGCTTAGCTGAGCTTAGGCCAGGGATTTAGCTCAGCGGTGCCGCCCACCTCGCAAGCACAAGGACTTGAGTTTGAGCCCCGGTACCAAATAAAAAAAGCTGAGTTAGGAAGTGATCTCGGGGTTGGGGCAGTGTTCCCTGGTAGACTGCTTGGCTAGCATTTAGGCCCTAGGTGATCCCTGGCACCACAAAAACAATAATAATAATAAATTAAAAGTCCATTTTTTTAAAAAGTGACCTGGTGAATTTAACATGGTCCTAAGGCCTCTCAAATGACTTACCTTGAATTTCCATAATGAACCCTTCCAGTGCTTGGGGGAAAACACAAAAAGTTCTCAACAGTGAACTCAGATGGACAGGTAAACGCTCAGCGTGTGCCCCTCACTCCCGTGTCACCTGGCCTTCGTTCATGAAAAGATTCTGCCAATGAAACCGAAAACATTCTGGCTTGAATCCTTTTACTGGGGATATAACCTAATCTACTCATACACCCTTTCCTTGGTAACACACAGGTCACAAAGTAGGTGTCTCAGCACACGCCTGTCATCCCAGCCATCAGGAGGCCCAGGCAGGAGGATTGCAAGTTCAAAGCCAGCCTGGGCTATAAAATGAGACCTTGTGTCCAAAAAAAAAAAAAAAAAAAAAAA